TTTTTTTGTGAGCAGTTTTTGGTGACATTGTACAAACAACTGTGACTTTATTTTTTTAATCTATGCTTTAGTTTTGTTATTATAGCCTATCAACACTGTACAATGAATTGTCAACACATGACAGTAGTTAGTTACATAAATAGAAAACAAAGCAGATAAAAAAAAGAAAAACAATAAAGCAAGACCATGGAGGTAAAAAGAGATCTCTTTTTACCTCCATGGCAAGACTAAGTTGTAGACAGCATTACGAACACCATCATCTAATTGAAAGCGTAAAAAATGTTGTTTTCAATTGTCTGAATAATCAAATATAGCAAAATAGGTTATCAAGTAACATTTGTATGGCATACATACTATGAATTTTTCTCTTGTGATTCAAATCAAATGGTTTACAGAATTGCGTACTATTTCCCAGATGTAGCATTCACTACAAATATCTTGCAGCTTATATGACTAACAGTGACAACAAACTTGATATATCCCAACCCCTATAGCAACCCCAGTAATGATTTCAGACCAATGATAAACACTGATGCTTTTTTCAACAACCTGTATATATATATATATCTCTCTAACAACTATTACTGTTGCAAAACTTCTTAACGTCACTATAGGCATACGTTTTCAACATATTTAACATATTTTGTTCAATCTGCTTTTTTGAAAGCAGTAACCTTATTTATAATACACACAATCATTGTACTAATATTCCTACATGTTCTGTATTAGCTCTATTAAAAGTGTATCTCCAATATGTGCATGAGAGCTCAAAAAATAGTTTCGAAGGGATTTCAAATTAAAAATATTTTTGGTGCAATGTGATAATGCACTTCCAATAAAGTAGATACAGTCCTTGTAGTAGTCTAGTTACATTTTAATGTAAAAACACAATGCAGAGGAACTTGCTAGTTACATGAAGGAGTGGAGACTATAAAGGTATATTCAAATATTTACATTACTTAAAGAGACGGTAGCTGTAACTTTCAAAACATTTCTCATTACAGATTATTAATGCAGCCAACAGAAAGTCTGATGATTATAAAAATATACTCAATATACTTGCTATCCAAAAAACATGGATGCACCCAATAGTTTGTGCCACTCAATAAGAGCTTGTCCTGTACTAATGAAATTATTTTGGTGAAAATTTCATCAATGTTAGAAACTGTTTCAACTATTGTGGCTTTAAATAATGTTATCATTATTAGATTGTCAGAAATTGCCAAAGTATTTCATTTTCATGAACATAGATTCAAGTTGAAAAACTGCAAATTAAAAATTTGCCCTGTTTATGGGACCCAAGTCAGTCAATGAGGATTCCTGGCTACGACTATAGGGTCTGGACGGAAAACAGGAGTTTGAGTAATGTTAAACATGAATCGCTTAGATGAGTTCAGTAAGATGAAGTAATTATAAAGTGCCTGACTTGTCTTGCGGTTACAATGACTTGCAAACTTGACGTAATCAATAGACTAAAAATGAATAAAATCAATTATGTATGGAGGTATGTTATTTGTTGAACCTATAGTTTTAACATAGCATATAGATAGGCCTAGATGTGGTCATTGTTTACCAAATTAGAACCACAAGTACTGATAATGAAATAACACAGAAGTCTATTAAAGTTTTGAAAGAAATTAAAAACATACTTGATTGAGGTCATACACCATCTTGATGTAAATCATAGTCTCCAAATTATGTACACTTATAAGACTTCCGTTCAGAGGATGGTAAAATCAGTGACTTCATAGTCACCATAGTTGTCTATTCAGGACAATTGAATTTCTATGCATGCACTGATGTAGTTATTAATTATCGGTGAAGTCAAATATTATGAGGAATAACAGAACAATTACTATTTAATCTCAAATATACAGTCATAGTCTCCATTGCCATAATAGTACACCCCCAGAGATTGAACAAATAAAACTACATACATGCAAACTACTTTACAAATACAGTGTAAATAATAAATAAAATTGGAAAAAAAAAAAAAAAATAATAAAGAAAAAAAAGTCCTCTTTCCCCCTATTTGTGTTTTTACATGAAATGCAAGAAGCAAGCCAGGTATTGTGTTTTGGATACATGACACTTAGAATGTCATATCAATGATGTAGTCCCAATATACTTTACACAACAGCTAACCTAGACTCTGTCCATCCCATCCCCCAAAACAATGAAATCCCATTCCAACAAAATTGAAAATAAATAGCACCCATCATTGTTTATAGTTGAAAGACTCTCTTCAAATACAAAAATACCACCAAATAAATATAAGTGTACTACACACATAAAAAATGTCTTTTTACGTAATATATGTTTAATAATGACTACCATTACATAAATGAAAATTACATTATTTTGAAAATATATATATGAAAACAAAAAATTGCTATCCTATTAACTCCTCTCGTTTCATCAAGTGTCTTATTTCTCAAAATAGGAATTCATCTCCAAGCAGAATTACAATGTCAACAAGCAAGCTACATAGTTAACACAAAGTTACATTAGAAATCATCTTTTGCAAGTTTTGCTCAAATAAGGTTTTTAGCAATTACAACAGAATGTAATTATGTAATTAGCACACCATATTTAACAGTCATTCAATATTGATTGTTAAGATTTCCTTTTTGCCCAGCATTCACTCCAGACATTTTATGTGGTTCAGTCATTTGGGAAGCCGTTGAAATAGCCTCAAACTTTTGCTTAAAAAACCCTATTGATGTAGTATTACTGGTAGGTATTTTAACCTCCCAAATCAAAACAAAAGTTGGAAAAAAGAAAATGTAAAAAAAGTAAAAAAAAAAAGGCTTAAAAATCTTGTATTTAACTGAAATTGGTTTTCATGATTTAGTATAAAACCACAATAATAATCAGTTTCTAAACAATGTCACGTTTTTACCTGTAAATAGTAATTAATGAAGCAGACATAATTTTATAATCACAACATGTAATTTAGCAGTTGCTGATTTCTATACAGCAAGTTAAAGTAACCTTCTACAGAGCAGAGTTTTGTTAGGAATGGTGAATCACATTTGTATGACTTAGATAAAAATATTAATAATTTTGCAATTCTAGGTTGTCATGCAATGTTTTATTTCATAATGAGAAAGCCATGACGAGTTATGATTTAGTCACTTAACAATAATTTTCAGTTTTTATTACATGCAAAGAGCCGAAAAAAATAAATTCTGATACCAAGCGGGTTTGATTATGAAACCTTCTTAAAGACATGAACTTAACTATCTAAGACAACATTCTCAATATTCACATATCAGATAGGTTTTTATTTTTAGTTTAAAGTAGAGGCCTACTCACAATTATTGGGAAAAATGGTCATCAATTGTGCTAAGTTCATTGGTTTACCATGGAGCTATATTCTATTGTGTGTTACAGTACCGTCTTTATTTGAGAAACTTGGCAAAGTATTAATTCCACAGAACAAGCCAAACTACTTTTTTCGTAACCTAGATTTTTGAAATAATTCAGGATAACAAAGTACCAATCAGTTGCAATATATATATATATATATATATATTGATTTTTCACCTTATGACCTACAATTTAAGAAATGACATAAAATCTCCACTGTAGATGGAGAAAGAAAAAAGTAGAGGTGTTCTAATATTGACAAAATGATCAACATGAACTAAAAATTAGGGTTAGTGACACCAAACTTTTTTAAAGTCAACAGCATATTTTGGTTGCAAGTACAAATTATTGCAAAATGGATACATTCTTGGTATTTTCAATTATGAGTAGGCTTCTAGCTTAATAGTGCCAAGTTATGAACCTTGTGAATTAAAGAATATTCCAAATAAATCTGATGCCACACAAGATATTTGATAATTTCAAATATTACAAATTAAAGCCTTCTGCTAACAATACACAAAGAGGTGATTTCATTTCCAAACAATGCAGAGTTCAATTCAGTTATATTACAACACACTGTCATCTATCACAATAAATGCTGGTAATAATGTATGGAATATAATTTATGGAGTGTTTTCATCACTACTTTGCAATATGTGCTTCAGATCCGTACATCAATCTTTTGTTCACTACTACATTGCATGTCAAATGTTCTTTGTCTACTAGGGTCCAATGACTGTTAAATCAGATATAATTCTAATTCTGACTATAATTTTTTTTCAGCTTGTAAGGTGCTATTATTTGCAACATTCTCACTATATTAATGCATCTGAATATTTAACAATCTGAAACTAGCACACATCATGCATTTATCTTGGTTTATGCAGAATTGGGTGAAAAAGCATATCAAAAGACTATTCCGTATTTTAACAGAGCTGTGGGGTCACATCAGAAATTTGGCTGCTTATGCACACTAATTCCAGTAAAATATTAGTGTAATATGTTGATAAGCTGATTGAACACTGTTAGTTTGTCTATAAATAAAATAAATAAAATGAGTTATACCGAGTTGATAGTTCAATGATAAATGAGATATCTCTAGTGAACTCTTACAGTCACAGTATCTATATATCTGATAGGAAATGTATTAATACCACCATATCAGTAATGTTTATGGTAAAATGTTAAGACATGGAGTGAATGCTGAGGAAATCTAACTTCCTGAAACATGCGATTTTCAGGACATTGTTCTCAATCTATTTTAAGGCATTTCTACGCATCAATAACCAAGTTTTACTGTTGTCTTTTGGTGCAGTCGTGATTACTTCAGTTGGAGAGAGCAGCCAGACAATAACACATACCATATGTGACCAGTTTTGTTTTTCATAGCTCCATATCTGGAATTCTGGTACACACTAAGGTACACTCACAGATGTGTTTTACAATAAGAAATGTTGTGTACCAAGCACATTGCTACCATATGACTGGTATTTAATAACACTTCTAGTACCAGACTGGTAACATGTACATATATACATTGTACCACAGAAAATATGTCTTGACAACAACAACAACAGCCAATAATCTTTTCTTTATGAACAGCTTCTTCAGCAACCACTATGGTCTTCTCATCTGTGTGCAGCAGCATCTTCATCAAATCTTATGTATCTTGTATCTTCATCTTTTATACATAACACTTTATCAGATTGGTTGATAACCCAACAATTTGCTGCATACTCACTTTTTAGGCCAATGGGATGTGACGTTAGGGCATACTTTCCCATCAATACCCAACTATTTACAGAACAAGGCAGTTGTGATACCATATGGTAAACACATAGAGGATGGATTACAAAACTTACACTGCACTCAATGATTCAGACCTGCATAAGTGTAACATTGATATGTGAAAGTTCTATCATATGTCTGAAAGAAATAAAACAGAGAAATGAGAAATGTTAATTACATATATTTTTCAGTATCAGGTGACTGACCCTAAAGACTGTAGTTAAACATTCTTCCATGTTCCTATTTCATTTTAATTTTTATATTAATACTATTTTAAATATCTGCCTGTGTCCGACAGTTGGTTATAGCTAATGCGATCAATGATTTATGAAAGCAAGCCCCACAATAAAATGGCAAATGTGATATACCGGTAGCTGGTTGGACCCAGTTCAAATATCTATAAAAGGAATATATTTATCTAAATATGGTCAAACTGGGCAGGCGTTATATGGAAAATTACTGCATGGCTTGCTCATTAGG